TTCAATCGCTCTCTACAGAAGGCTCAGGACTTTCCCATCACTGTATAGGAAAATCAAGTCAGGGGTCAAACCGCCTTGAGCCAGGGGTCCGCTGCATCCCACCGGGACGCCTGCCCCTCATTTCTAGGGCCCTGCTCTGTCTCACCTCAGGCAGGTGGGGTCTTGGGCTCCATTCCAGCCATGCTGGCTCCCTGAGCTGGGAAAGTGGGAAGTGAGGATAACGCACTGGAGTCTACTCTGGCCTGTTCTTCATGACTCTTAGCAGGAGACATCTGCCCTTCCCAGCCCTGCCACATGCCCACCGCTTTGTCTGTACAGATCCCTATTCCAGCTAGTGTACACAAAAGGCCTCCTTCACCCTGCCAAGGCCTTCGACGCTCACGAGCGCAGGGGCACGTGGCACACCCAGGGGAGAGTACCCCGGCCAGGGGAGGACACCCCCAGGGGAGGACACCCCCAGGGGAGGGCACCCCGCCCAGGGGAGGACACCCCGCCCAGGGGAGGGCACCCCGGCCAGGGGAGGCTACCCCGGCCAGGGGAGGGCACCCCGGCCAGGGGAGGACACCCCGCCCAGGGGAGGGCACCCCGCCCAGGGGAGGACACCCCGCCCAGGGGAGGACACCCCGCCCAGGGGAGGGCACCCCGCCCAGGGGAGGGCACCCCGCCCAGGGGAGGACACCCCGCCCAGGGGAGGACACCCCAGCCAGGGGAGGGCACCCCGCCCAGGGGAGGACACCCCGCCCAGGGGAGGACACCCCAGCCAGGGGAGGGCACCCCGCCCAGGGGAGGGCACCCCGCCCAGGGGAGGACACCCCGTCCAGGGGAGGGCACCCCGCCCCCTCCCCGCCCAGGGGAGGACACCCCACCCAGGGGAGGACACCCCGCCCAGGGGAGGACACCCCACCCAGGGGAGGACACCCCAGCCAGGGGAGGGCACCCCGCCCAGGGGAGGGCACCCCGCCCAGGGGAGGACACCCCCAGGGGAGGGCACCCCAGCCAGGGGAGGACACCCCGCCCAGGGGAGGGCACCCCGCCCAGGGGAGGACACCCCAGCCAGGGGAGGGCACCCCACCCAGGGGAGGACACCCCGCCCAGGGGAGGGCACCCCGCCCAGGGGAGGGCACCCCGCCCAGGGGAGGACACCCCGCCCAGGGGAGGACACCCCCAGGGGAGGACACCCCGCCCAGGGGAGGACACCCCCAGGGGAGGACACCCCACCCAGGGGAGGACACCCCCAGGGGAGGACACCCCGCCCAGGGGAGGGCACCCCCAGGGGAGGACACCCCAGCCAGGGGAGGACACCCCGCCCAGGGGAGAACACCCCAGCCAGGAGGGGACACCCCGCCCAGGGGAGGGCACCCCGCCCAGGGGAGGACACCCCGCCAAGGGGAGGACACCCCGGCCAGGGGAGGACACCCCGCCCAGGGGAGGACACCCCGGCCAGGGGAGGACACCCCAGCCAGGAGGGGACACCCCGCCCAGGGGAGGGCCGGATTCCCACCACCAACTATAATTTGGGGGGAAAGGTGAGGCACAGCCCAAAGGAACCAGCAGGGCCGGCCAGTCGTACTTGCGAGGCCCGGGCCAGCCTGCCCGGCAGCGCCCTTGCTGGGCGCTGGCACCGCGGCCCTCAGCACAGTCGCCATTTCCCCAAGTCCGAGTCCAGCGCAGACCCTGAGTCCCCAAGCACGCGGCGGCTGGCGGCGGTTCTGGGGTTCGGATGCGGGTGGCGGCGGGGGAAGTGGGCCCCCCACAGCTGTCCTCCGCAGGCCCCGCGCCGCTCACGCCCCGCCCCCCCC